GCAAATAAAGCGAGATAATGAATTGAATTGCAGACAGGCAGAGATAATTGCAGACAGATAATCGAGTCAAGTCGTAAGTCAAGTGCGTGAATCGTTATGAATTACAGCGTGTGTTTAAGTTAAAGTGCCTGTGGAAATTAAATGTATTGCAAAGTTGTATTGAGAAAAAATAAACTAGTTTTATTTAAGAAAGGACTTGTATCGCTAAAGTTTCTTCGGAAAGAATTTCTACGGAAAATTAACCAACGACCAGAGACCTAACAATATATATATATATATATATAACGGACGATGCAGTACTTCGGGCATATATAATTAAGTTTGAGAGAAGGTTTGTGGGGATCCTGATGAGTGTGTGTGTATTTTTTTTAGCAAAGCCACATCGGGCTATCTGCTGTGTCCACCAAGGGGAATCGAATATCTGATTTTAGAGTTGTAAATCCAGGGGATTTACTGCTTTCCTTGCGGGGAACATCCTGATGAGTAATAACATCGAATTGGGCATACGCGTCCCCCACACTTGGTATTTCTGGCGCAAAAAAATATAGATAATAAAAAAGAAACAAAGAATTATTATAAAAATATTTTAAATTTTATAAAGACAAGTGGGGATCAATATATATATACATAACCTAGCTAGCTATAATAATATAGAAAATTTAAAATAATGTATTCCTACTTTCGCTCAGACTAACATGATTACAGTGATTTGCCAAAATAGAATAAATGTTTTAAATTTTAAGTAACTCAGTTTTTGTAGTTTGCCTTTCCTGTATAATAAAATAATTACATATTTATTAAAACCCTCCAGGGGGCGGGACCCTATTTTTTTATTAATTTACAAATTACAATTTATACATCCTAATTTTTGTAACGATTTGAGTTTTATTTCAAAGAAAATATATTTATTAAATAAAACAAATTACCCATACACTCAGGTCAAAATCGATCGAAGGTTTATAATTGGAAGTTAGATTTGTATTTACTGTTCTGTTCACATTTTGAAGTTGAATGAAGGTAAGCTATATAATTATGAAATTATATAATTAAATTTAAAACTGAAATTATAAGTTTGAGAACTAAAGAAACTAAAAAAAAGTAAAACCAAACTTAAACTTTCAGTCTGTAATAATTTTTTTTTCACAAATATATTATAAATACTAATCTTAATTTGTAGCTTTTCACTGTGTTGCAACGTTTTGGTAAAGAATAAAATTAAAAGATAATTTTTTTTGAGAAATATAAATATTATATCAAAATCCTTGTTCAAGTTAAAAATCTAATGTGGACTGAACACGTTTTGACAAAAGCAGAGGAGTTTGGGATCAGAAACCACGTTTTCTCAACTAACTTAGCTATTCTCTGATAGTTGATATTTTGTTATAACTCTTTATTTTAGTAGCAATAAATTCTAATTACATAATTTTATGCTCTTTTTAATATTGCTTTTAATGTAAAGTAATTGCTGATAATTAAGAGCAAAAAAGTGTTTAAAAAAAATAACTGATGTAGGTAGGGATGGCAATGCCCAACAAGGTAGGGATGAATACACAAAACCACATCAAAATTCCTATATAAGTAGCCAAATCTTTTCAAGCCAAATTTTTATCTACAACTAAATGTTGAATTCCTTTCCTTTTCATGCATTCAGGTTTGAATAAAAGCATTTAAGCCAAATAATGCCATAAAGTCTAACAATGGAATTCTCAAAAGCTTATAACAACTAACATTGACTCACTGGCTACTTATGTAGGGATTTTTGTATGGTTTTCTGTATTTACCCCTATCTTGTTTCTGTACCTTTTGACGTTACTATTCTTACATCATCGTTATCTCTTACAAAAATTCTTTTTACTTGTCTTCCCTCATTTTTTTTAAACTACCAATGAATATTTTATAATAAAGGCATAATTTTAGCCTGGCATGATGAGTTGTCTGGTTGTGGACATCATGTATTGAAGTTAGTGAAATGCTATACTGCTTCTACACTCACCAACATTTTGGCATATAAATCATCACATCAACTTTAAGCATTGGTGAGCTATTCCTTCTGATGCCAGAATCAGAATAATCAGCAGAACATTTGGCTGTTACGCTACTCGTCGGGTTTTCTACTTTAGAGATGTTTTTTTGGCTAAACTTAAGGTCTTAATAGCTAAGTTAGATGTTTATAAAAGTATCTTAGATTGTTGTAAAAGAGATTTGAGACTATGATGAGCAATACATATGCACGTGATTAGTGATTATTTTGGGGAGGTTTCATAATATTTGGTTTGTACAATTTAAAAAAGTCTTGGTTTCACTTATAATGTCCTATAAAAAATTTATAGGACAACGTCCTACTGGACTAACATATTTTATTACAAGTCCACTTTTAGTATTTTTATATGACTTCCTTCAGAATCTTTTCATAAAGGTGGAATGAAAAGGTTGGAAATACAAATTTGAATATCATAGGTAATAAATTTAAACTTTAGAATGCTAGATCCAAAAGTACTTTACTAGTAGTTATAAACTTGTGAAATGCTTCATCTGTTGATTTGTAGTATATGCTGTTATTTTAAATTATCTTATGAATTTATGGGATAAGCCTATGTTTAAAATATTATTTAAAGAAAAAGAAGTTAAAATTAAGCTACTTAAAACTGCCAATTGTGATTTTCAAGAGTATCTAATTGAGACAGCAGCCTGTGACTATATACTAACTTAGTGTGAGAGTAAAAGTTTACATGCATGTGGGAGGAAGCATCATTATGTGTTAAGATTAAATATCTAATTTTTCACTTCAGCGATATGAAACCTTGTTTCTAAAGTTATAATTGGTATCTACATTTTTACGGATTGATACATAAGTATACCAAGTCAACCACTGCATAATTTTTAAATCTGACTATTTGTAACTGCCTTATAGTGTTTGTCAATACAGACTTCTAATAATCTATCTGTCTGAACTATTAACTTACATTTTGCATGTGTAATAGGCCTACTTTTAGCTTTGACTGGTTGTTTTGGTAAATACAAAGGTAAATTTGATGGGCCAAATGGCTTTTTATCACCTTGATCTTTCTTATAAATGTATAGAATAGCTGATAATTACTATATTAACGTAAAAATAAATGTTTTTCTGATTAGTATAGCTACCTTTAATAATGGTAATTGAACATAAATTTTGGAAAATGAATTAACAAAAATACTTATATAGTAGTATAACATAAGTTTACCATTTTTCACACTTTTTTTTTTTCCTTAATTTGTTATCAGTTTTCAAACTATATTTATTAAGCACCGTTTCATTCCACCAGCAGTTAAAAAATAATTTACTGGAATGCTGAAGAAATAATCTTACTGTTAGTACAAGATTTAATATTTTTGACTCAATTGGATTGTTTAATTATACCAATGATTATTTGTTTGCCCAGTAATTACTTGTTACTTTGGCTCACACAAGTTCATTGCTGTTTGTTTTAACTATGTTATGTAAATTATAAATAATATATATATAAATTTAAATAATAAACTTATAATAATATTTTCTTTAGACACTCAAAGTTAACATCAAAGATGATAGTTTAAGATACATTTCTGAATTCTGGTATTGTTGAGCTTCCTACATTTTTTCTGTGTAGGATTGGATCAGAAGTATACTATGTTTACAGTTTTTCTTTGTAAACATAGTATATTTCTGATTCAAAGACTTGTGTTTTTATTTATAAGGTATCACATATGTTGAGCATAAATATTTTGGTTAAAAAAAGTATAAAAAGATAAAAGAACAGCAAAGAAGTATAGTAGAATAAAAAATACTTTTTTGTTAACTTTTTTTATTATTGTAAATATTATAAGTGTATGAGATCTTATTTTTATCTTAGAGTGACTGAAATCTGAATTTATGCTTAGCCTGGATCAGAGTCTGTACCAATGGTGTGTAATATAGGTAAGCTTTGTATTTTTCTGTTCAAAGCACTCGTAATAGTCCCACTTGAGAGAACATTTTAGCTTGAGAAAAAAATAGATAAATCCAGAAAACAATTTGGCTCAAGAAGGGTGTGGACAAGTAACTTCCAGGTTTGTGAAGGAAGACTGGAAGATGAGTAAAAAAGAAAAGTGAATGTGCCACACGACTGAAATGTTATTGGAGTTTGTATGGTTACTTTAAATTATTTTAATTCAACAGTTGTGTACTACCACATAATATTTTTGTTTTGTGAATTATTTCTTGTTACAGATTATAAGGTGCTGTTTAGTAATATTTTTGTATTCTATATAATTATACTTTTGATCAATAGTTTTAATTCTTGTAGTGGTTTATCTGAAATGAACATTGACAACGGTAGTCAATGTGAGGTCATTAGCAAAAATTTGAAAAAGCACTAGTTAAGGTTACATAACTGTGTGTGTTATAATACAGAGTTAGCAAATCAAAGTTGGGACCAATCAATTTAAAATAAATCGTTAGTTATTAATAAGTTGGTCTACTGTGTTGAAATTATGATATTGTCCAGTTGTATGTTTATCAACAAGTATAATTATTGGAGATTTGGTGAAGTTATAAATTATGTAGAGTGAGTGCAACAGAAAGTCTTCTACTTTGGAAATACAATTATTTTGAGTTCAACAACTTGTTTTAACTTCTAGAAAGACTGTATTGTTGCCAGTCCATATAATAATAAAAATCTGTTTTATTTCTTCCTTAACATTTCTTTGTCAGCATGTACACTTTGTAACTTGTAGGTCTAACTAATCTTACAAATGAGCTCAAACAGAAATACCTTGACTAACGTTAAAAGTAAACTTAATTGTACAACTTCATGGCTGGTAGATCAAGTAACTGAAAACAAAACACTAACAGAAACATGCACTGACTAATTAACTCCTATCTGTACTTTACTATTTCACTCTGCAAGCTTATTTAGCTTATTGAGTGGCTTACCGGTATTTATGTATAATGCTAGTTCTAGATATTTTACAATGCCTATAGGTTTTTGTGACATCAACTTAGAATATTTTTGGCCTATTCTCACAAACTTTTTTTTATCTTAACATCATGCACCTCTAACTTTGTTGTTTATGGCCATCCTGTTGCTAGGGGAGTTCTTTTTCAGGTAGATGTCTGAGTGAATCCACTGGCAGCTATATCCATGATTTTCCTCTACAAGTAGTCTAGACAGGAACTCTGGGATCCTCAGAAGGTTGAGTTTTGGCTGCTAAGTTTTTCTCCAAAGTTAACCAATTGGCTTCTTTCTCTCACTGAAACACTTCCAAAGACTATCATAGTGGATGACCTTTGGCTTGGATTGCCTATCTTTCTGGATTCTGTAAACCACATCATTGGTTCTTTTCAGTATAGCATATGGCTCCTCTCAGCACCAACTTAACTTTAGAGTTTGTCCCTTGTTGTAGTGAGGATTGTACAGGCATACCATGTCACTTCAATAAAATCTAGTCTTATCGTCATTAACATCACAGTGACTTTTCATCATTTTCTGATTTAAGTCTTTCTTGGGGAATTGATGTTCCTTAATCTTTCTACATATTCTATGTAAGAATCTCCCAAGTGACTGTTCTGTGGATGAAAGTACAGAACATCCAGTAGTACTTTAAGTTCTCTCCTGAACATCAGGAATGCTGATCTTATGCCAATAGCTTTGTGTATTGCTGTATGGTAACTCATCAATAACAGTGGAAGATCTCGATCACACATTTTCTGATGTTCATCTATATATATGGCTAATTGATTTGACAATGTGCAGTTGTATCTCTCCACCATGCCTTCAGAAGATGGATGAAGGGCTGTTGTTTTTGTCTTTTTAATTCCAAGGTTCTAACACTTTTCCACAAACTAGACTGATCCAAAGTTCCATCTTTGATCTGTGTGAAGTTCTATTGGCACACCGAATCTTGAGACAAAGTCCTTGATGGGTTTCTTCACAAGCTTATTATTCCTGGTTAGGAACAGTATATGCTTCAGGCCATTTGATGGAATAGTCCATCACAACCATGATGTATCTATTCCAACTGTTACTTTGGAAGTGGACCAAGCATATCAACAGTATAAGAAATCCTCTTACCTCACACTGATTCTTTAATTTTGGCCATTTATGAACAGAGCCAATCTTTGATGGATCTGTTAGACACTTTCTCTGGTGACTATGTGTTACAGAAACTCACCTGTTGACAAAATAATTCATACTTCCTGGGATTCATCTTAAAAGTTCTTTTTATTCCATGTTCTATTTTCACCAAACCAACCCCACTATTGACACCAGTATTGAATACATGATTCTTTTAAATTATTTGGTGAAAATAATTCAATGTTCAAGTCCACTTAGCAATAACAAATTAGTTTTATTTTCTTTTTAACATTTCTTTACCAGCTTTTGCACTTTTTAACTTGAGTTGGTTGCATTAGTATAACCCAGAATTTTTTGTTTTCATAAACTCAAGTAAAATTTACACAGAGTGATCCAAAATTAAATTATTATCATTATTAATTTCCTCAGTAACTGATGTAAAATCACAGCATAAATTTTTTTCCAGACTTTCATGAGATAAAAAATAATCTTTGGATAAAGTTTTGGAAATCTGAGAAAACAACTTTTAAACAACATAGTAGAATTTATACAATTTTGACATATGCAATGTATTTGCCATAAGAACAAATGTGGAGGAAGCCCTGCATTTTAATTTAAAGAAGGTTCATGAGAAAATGTGGTGTCTGAATACTGCAAGTACTAAAAAAATAACATCAATTTCATATGTGAAAAAAAGTCTGAATTATTAATATGAAACTTTGCCTTTTTCTTCTGTGTGAATAGGAAATTTTATAAAAAAATATAATAATTGCTGTCATTATTTATTTTTTATATATTGTACAAGGGCACACACTTGTTACTACAAGTTTATAAAAATAAAACTACCGGAGTTTCTGATTCTAACAGCAAAATGCTTTAATCGTTCAGGCAATTGAGTCTGTGAGACAGCTCTTGTATTTGTCCATTCAATCAACAGTTTAATTTAGATATGAAGAAATTAATACTATGATACAGAGTTCAATCACTTTGATAGCTAGTGCATGTTTCATCACTGAAAAGACTATCTTAAAATAATTGTTTTATAGGGTGAGTCAAAAACTGATAACTTTGGAAATTTACAAAATATAGTGCATAAGTTATTGTTAACCATTCCAAATAAAGATGTTTCATAACAGTGAAGCTATTTGAATACAGACAGTATATATACTAAAACTGATTAGGTAATTTGTCAGAATAAGCCAAATATGGTACAGAGTTCAACCACTGTGATAGCCAGTGCAGTTTCATCATTGCTTGATAAAAATAGTGATCTGTAAACACCGTGTATTGTTAAAAAAAGATAAAATGACTATTCTGAAAAGAATTATTTTATACGGTGAGTCAAAAACTGATAACTGGAAATGTACTAAATGTAGTGCGCAAGGTATTGTTAACCATTCCATACCTAAAATTGATTAGGTAATTTGTAAAAGTAAGCCAAATATTTCAAATTTAAAGTGACACATTTTTTATCCATTAATTACTGAGTATTTTACATTTGCAACAGATGTGTTTTCACAAGAACCAGAAATTTATGTATTTTATTAACATGTTTGTTAAAAGTAACCAGAAGTAGAAAATTCAGTATGAGAAAGTACTTATTAAAAAACACCTTATAGTAGATACAGTAAAAAATTTAAACACATGCATACTTTGTTAGTAATAGATATTATCAAAAATATTTAATTTACATTGATCACTATATAAATAAAAATATCCATCATATGTATAATAATTAGCAAAACATGTTTTTCATTTTAACTTGGGAATAGTTTTCCTAAAGAAAACAAAGGTTCAGGGATTAATCACCCAAATGAGTTGTAAAGGGAAGGGGGGGGGGTCTGTGCTATTTCAAAAGGAAAATGTTTATTTACTTCAGCTCTATCATCAACACAAGTTTACTCAACATACTATTTTTTGCAAAAGAAAAATATTTAGTAATTCAAAAATACAATCAACTTCTAATATACAGAGATTTTTATCAATTATGCTAAAATATAAAGTATTTTCTGAGTTGCAAAAAGAAAATATATTGTTAAATTTAAAATAAACAACAAATGAACATATAATTATGAACAAATAAAAAGATCATGAACTCCAGATAATCTTTCAACATTTATTTAAGCAAATAAAAAAGCTGTAAAAAAAAAGATAAAAACTTTGAAAGATTCTCTGGAATTTCATTGTCATTAAATTTATTCATAATTATTTACACTATATTCTAGTGAACATTACATAATGAGAAGAAAAAAAAATACATGCTGTGTTTCAGCCTTTACATGTATGAGAATATTTACCCATAACCATCCTTAACTCCAAATTAAAAACTAATATTGATAAATTACATTTTCAAATTGTTGATAAAATGTTCACATACCAACATACAAATTTGGCACCATGCCCATGCTTACTTCCTGAAACAATTAACATAGTTTTTTGTTATGAAATTTGTAATATTTAGAAAAAATGACAGTCATTTGGATACAAGAGGTGAAAAGTGGGCAATTGTTAATAAGCTATAATTTGTTGAGTAATCCTTGTGTCTTGTCAAAATAAGGTGATGCATTAATCAGTTATTGCTTACATTTGTAACTCAGCATTACTAAAATGAAGAGTTGTGCTCAGCTTTGTAAAGTGATTATACTTAAAATATTTCTGGATTTAATAGAACAGTGATATATTTTAAAGTAGGCCCTGATGCTGACTACATTCGGTATTCATTCTCATTCATGGGGATTGTTACACCTAACAGATAATTAATGAGATTCTCTCTTTTTGTGGAGTGGGGGGGGGGGTAGAAGTTACCAGTTGCATCCTGATCTTAAGAAGATTTCATTATACACTTCATATTCAAATAACACAATATTTTAAATAAAATTATAGTAACAGAAAACAATATAAATATTATTTCAAATAAAATGAAAAAAAATTGGCAAACTTTTAATTATGTTATTAAGTATGAACAGAAGTACATTCTCATCCTAGATTATTATTACTTGGTTCTGAAAATTTAAAATTTGGATAGGATGGGG